CCCGGTCTAGGACACCTCGTCTCTCTCCTCGACACCCTAATAACAATAACTAATTACGTAGTCACCAAAGAATTCCCAGTTTTTGTGATTTTGAGTGTTTGGAATTTTACTTTTCAAATCAAAATCAATATTTTCCTCGTGTACAAGTTACACTTTTCACTGTCATCTTATATTTAATCACGTTAAACCACGATATATATACATATATATAAAATTTTAATTTAAATTTATTTTTTTTAATAATATTAAGAAAAAAAAAAAATTTTGTGGAACTTAAAGTCCCCCACGCCCCCGAGGCAACCGCCCGTGTCCCCTTTGTGACTTCCGTGATTAATTCAATTCTAGTCTAAAAAACATATGAGTGTTTACATTGTAAATATAACTGCTACATCGTAAACCTTGTAAAACTGAAATTTACGAAGGTTTCGGAATGACAATTGAGTTAAAGTTTTAGAATCAAATTGCCAATTACTTCCCACACTGAATTAGACAACTGATTTTGGGAGTCCCTGTAACTCTTATAAGTGTTTTATCTTTATGTATCTGTGACCAATTACTTCAATTTTTACATTAACCCAACATTGTATAATTCTTTGAACACAATTACCTCGGGTTCTCATAAACACCGACTTTTCTCTCTTGCATTGTCGATTATCGTTTTCATTTATCCAATAAACTAGTTAACTAAATGACAAACGAAAGATGAAAGGAGTAGAGAAAGACTATATGAACAAATGCAACTGGTACAAGCGTATACCTGTAAACCTGTTAGTTACGATATCTTCCACTCACAATGTATCACTTCACAGTATACACTCCTTCATTTGTTTCCTTAGGGTTACCTCCGCAAACTCCCGTAACCTGTAAACCTGGTAATTAGTCTTTAGTCCAAATAATGGTCCCATCCAAATGTGAATGCCCTTAAACTGAACTACCAGCCACCACGTATGTAATTTTTGTGTCTATGTCTCGAATTTCTTTTATAATTTTTATTATGTTTTATATTCTCCTCTTGTTTCGTAGACCGGCAAACATAGCGAGATATATAAACATATAAAAATTATAAAGAAATCGAGACATAGACACAAAAATTCATACGTGGTGCTGGTAGGTTCGAGTTAAAGGAGCATTCACATATTGGAATTGGACCATTATTTGGACTAAGACAATTACCAGGTTTACAGGTTACGGAAGTTTGCGGAGGTAACCTAAGGGAAAAGACAAAATGAAGGTAGTGTATTACTGTAGTGATACATTGGTGAGTGTGAAGATAATCGGTAACTACAGGGTTTTACAGGTTCGTTGTACCAGTTGCATTTGTTCATATAGTCTCCTTACTCCCTCAATCTTCGTTTGTCATTAGTAACTAAGTTTATTGATAAATGAAAGACGATAATCGACATGCTAAGAGAGAAGTCGTGTATGAGACCGAGTTAATTGTGTTCAAAGAATTAACATGTTGTTAATTGTAAAAATTGAGTAATTGGTCACAGATACATAAAGATAAAACACTATTAAGATTACAGGACTCCAAATCGTTGTTCTAAATTCATGTGGAGTAATTGTTCATTTGGTTCTAAACTTTAACTCAATTGTCATTCGAAACCTTCGTAATTTCAGGTTTACAGGTTACGATGTAGCAGTTTATTTACAATGTAAACACTCATTTATGTTTTTAGACTAGAATTGAATTATCACGAAGTCACAAAGGGGACACGGGCGGGTTGCCTCGGGGCGTGGGGGGGGACTTTTAAGTTCCACAAAATTTTTTTTTTCTTAATATTAATAAAAAAAATAATTAAAATTAAAATTTATATATTATTTATTTATATCGTGGTTTAAGTTGATTAAGATATAGAATGACAGTGAAAGTATTGTAACTTTGTACACGAGAAAATATTGTATTTGATTTGGGAAAGTAAAATTTCAACACTCAAATCACAAAAAACTGGGATTCTTTGTGGACTACGTTAATTAGTTATGTTATTAGGTGTCGAGAGAGAGAGACGAGGTGTCCTAGACGCGGGGGGGGGGGGGGTTTCCGTCATTCTGGATCCCCTTTGTGACAAATAAGGTTTTCAGGATACCTAGGTGGCATGGAGTAATGTTCACTTTACGTCTCTCTCCTCCTTAATGTCCCTTTAATGTCGGTGGTTCATTTCTCATTCCGTTACTCTCATGGCTACGCTGTTTATTTAATTGAAAACCATTTTTCTCTTCATATTTTCGACCTTATAAGAGAGGTCAGAAGTCTGGGTGTGAAATCCGTGTCTTTCAGAGAATTGACACCAGGTGTTATATTAGGGTACGTTCTAGGTCCTGTGGAATAGCTTCTTTCTCAAAACGAAAGCCGTCTTATACTCCTCCTTCACTGGAGTCGAGTTGGAGACCAGCAGGAGGTCGCAGGGTACCTCGTAGACCATCCCAGTCCCTGTTCGGACTAGCCCAAAGCAGTAAACCTAGGGGAAACACTGTTTATTCCAAAGTCCTAATGGATCCACCGTACCTCATTACAAGTGAATGCAGAGAGAGGAGGAATTACAGCCACCAAAGTAGTAAGCAATGAATATCCGATGCGACAAATAAATATTAACTTTTGGTAAAAGAGAGTATAAAAGCTGGAATATTCTCTCAGTCTTCAGACCCACACTTTAGGCACAGAAGTCTCTTAACTGTGGTTCAACAATATAATCCTCATCAGATCCAGGACACCTTATCGAAAGAAAGACGTTTGCTTTCGGCAGAGAGGAGGAAGTAGACCTCAGCTCACCTCTGTCGTCCTCAGCGTCCCATGGAGCATCTGTAGGGTCCAGGACAACCTGATCTGCTGTAGCAAACACAACCATGCTGCGTCTCCCTCCTGCTTGTTACTCTGAGGTGACCTCTGCCCACTCGCGCTGCTGACTCCTGTCTCCCCCCTCCTCTTTTAACACACCCTCCCACTCTTTCTGTCTATGTTTCTGAGTGTGTGAAGGGAGGGTGTGTTGATCAAAGGACGTGATGCCCGGGCCGCAGCGGTGAATTAATGTCATTCTGATCTCTCTTTTTTTTTTTTACATACTAACCACATTAGCCCTACTTTGATCCACATCGGGTGCAGGACAGCAGATCAAATCAGATTTCATTTGTCGGATCAAAGAGCTCTCCCACACACACATTAAACTGATATGTTTACGTGTGATATTGCCACAGAGGGAGGAGAGGGATGTTGTGACAGATTGGATGTTTGTGGAGAGGCCAGAAGCGAGAGCAGTTTCTTTCTCACCCCTGTCTCTCGCGCTGTCTCCCGCATTCCTCCCCTCTTTCTGCTGTGGTCTGTTTGCCTCCCCTCTGTTGCTCCCTCTCCGGGACAAGCCTCTAATTATCGAGGGGCCCGCCGAGCGACATTAAACACACACACACACACACACACACACACACACACACACACACACACACACACACACACACACACACGCTGGTCATGTTTTGACACTATTATGAAACTGATTTCCAATTGCGTTGTTACGTTTCAACATTTGTTGTGGGAACAAAATTAAGATTCCTTAATCAAATGAAAAATCTAACACATACACCACATCTGTTGGGGACTATGTTGCGACGTGACAACATGAAATAAAACATGCCTTCTTTGACTCACATAGCTGACTGAAAGTGTTTTTGACAATTCTTCTGCTCATGTTCAAAACATTTCCTGCAAATTTGTGTTTGTAATATCATTAGAGAAAGTCAAATGATGAGAGTATAATTGTGACGTAATGAGAACAAAGTCATACCATTGGAGATCTGTTCACCGTTTGTGATTAAGTAAATGGACGTTGACACACACCAGTTGTTATATTTGTATCTTTGATCAATATTATTGCAAGAGACATCTAAGTGGATGACATGTCGCAATGAGTTCATTAGTTGAAGCTGAT